ATAAAACATTTTGTCTCAAAAAATTTATTCAAAATAAGAATACATATTTGTTACAATTATTGAAAATAGACTAATTTTTTCTAAAGAAATCCAAAATTTTTAGCTGCTTTTTAGAATCTAACGTCTCGGTAATGACAAACGATTCTAAGATGTTCAGTGAACTAAAAATAGAGCGACTTACATCATTTTTACTTTCAAAGTACCGTTTAAGTTGCGTAATATGGTGGGTTGCTTCGGCCGCACTCGGAACATATATTTCTCCCGCAACTGATGATGCGTCGTCTTCATCACTCTCTTGTTTTTCATCATTGTCCTTAAGCACTTCAGCGATGATCTCTGTATCGGTTATTTCACCACATACTGCAACATCTTCATCCACGTTGACAAAATCTTCATAAGAGATGGCAGGATCAGAAATGATGTCCCCTCAGCAGTCAACTGAAAGCAGCTCTTCTGTTAAATTGTCGTCTGTGTTCTCCTCCTTTTTTATGAAACCAGCTCTTTTGAAACAGTGTTTGATCGTTTCGGGTGTTACTTGGTCCCAAGCTTTCTTACACATTCGAGATGCTTGTAGAATGTCTAACTTTATTTTAAGGGTGTCGCAATGTTTCATCAATATGTTTTCAACCAAAAAACGTCTGTAAAAATGTTTAAAAATTTTTATGACACCCTGGTCCATAGACTGGAGAACTGAAGTCATGTTAGCAGGAAAAAAATAACTTACATTTTCCATCAGTGGGATAGTGGTGTGTGCCGTACAATTGTCAATAAACAAAATAACTTTTCTTTTTTCTTTTATGAACTTTTTGTCTATTTTTTTCAGCCAGTTCTCGAAAAGATCACTAGTCATCCAAGCTCTTGCGCTGCTCACATATTCCACTGGTTTTGACTTGACGTTCTTAAAACAATGCGGATTAGCCCATTTGCCAATCATCAGTAGAGGCAGTCTTTCTGATCCGTCCATGTTTGCACCAATTAGGAGAGTTACTCTTTCTTTACTTAGTTTTCCTCCGTGACATTTTTCATTTTTAAATGCTAGCGTTTTGTCAGGAGTGCATTTAAAAAAGAGACCCGTCTCGGCAACATTAAAGATATCTCTTTCATCTATACCCTGAATCATCTCTTCCAAATTTTTTTTCCACTGGCTTCTTGCTGATTAATGGTCCCACTTTCTCCACAAATGGATTGCGTTCTTTAAAGCCATCGAGCCACCCTGTACTCGCCTTAAAATTGTTTTTCCCCATTTCAATAGCAAATTTTTCAGCTTTGCTTCTTATAAGGGGACCACTCACGGGAATCTTCTTATCCCTAGCTTGTTTGAACCATTTTAAACACACAACTGTCTAAATTTGGATTTTCTGGCTCCCTTAACCTTTTTCTTTATTAAATTATATCTTTCTATTTATTCTATTTATATTAATTATATATTTCTATTCTTTATTCTATATTAAATGTCTAAATAAGACATATAACAATATAGTGAGTGCATCCATGTTCAGGTTACTGCCTTCAAGTGATCAAAGTACGTACTAACAGAGTAAAAAGCAAATCTCAAAAGGTATCTTTTTAGACTTACTTTAAATTTATTCATCGAAAGTTGTTTTAAATGCTTAGTAGCAGTAGGTAGGAACAGATAAATTCAAGTATTTAGGAACCATAATATCGAACCAGGGAACAACAGAAGAAGATATAAACAACAGACTAAGACAAACAAGAAACTGTTTAAGACAACTAAATTCAGTGCTGTGGGATAAGAACATTACGATAAAGACAAAAAAGAGAATATATAATACCCTGACAAGAAGTATCCTGACATATGGGTCCGAAAACTGGACAATAAAGAAGAGAAATAGAGGTAGAATAAGAGCAGTAGAAATTGAGTTCCTGAGGAGAAGCTGTAGACTTACAAAAAGAGACAGAATTGAAAACGCAAAGATTAAGCGGAGAATGGGAGTGCAATCAGACATAATCGACTATATAGAGGAGAAGAGACTATCCTGGTACGGCCACGTCAGAAGAGCGGACAGAGGACGCTGGATAAACAAAATCACAGAATGGAGCCCGATCGGAAAAAGAAAGGGAGGAAGACCCCGAAGGTCATTCAGAGACGAAATCAACGAGGCTATGGAGAAAAGAACCCTGCGAGATGGAGACTGGAATGCCAGGGAAAATTGGAGAAAACGGTTGAGTGAAGGAAGATAGTGAAAACTGTGGAAATCCTTAGTAGTAGTAGTAGGTAGGATTGTATATATTATAGTCAATTAAGTTTTTTTGTGATTTACTCAAACGATACTTAACTGTTCTGATGTTATTTGCTCCTCTTGTGCTATAGTTATGTACGTCAGAGTGTTTAATTAAAGTATCAGCGTTTTTATGTATTTCTACATTAACGCTTTATAGCCATAATGTTAGCAAGGCATTATCTTATATTTAATTAACAATGGTTTGCAAGATTCCAAGTAGCTAACTTTTCCAATAGAACAAGCAGCAAAACTGAAATGGAAATGGGCTGGACACAATGAACGTCTCCAAGACGGACGATGGAACAATGCCATCGGAAAGTGGCGTCCATACAATGCAAAGAGATCAAGAGGCTGACCACAGATGAGGTAAAAAGATGACATCAGGAAACAAGGAGGTCCCACATGGCAGAGAACAGCTCAAGATAGGGAAAGATGGAGAGAACTGGGGAAGACCTATATCCAACAATGGAAGGATAGAGAATAGGTTAAAAAAAAACGTTTCCAATAATTCTTCTTATTGCTATTTTTACAATTTAAATACTATTAGGGCATTGGTAGAGTTTCCCCACAGAATAACACCATAGCTTAAAAATTAATGGAAAAGAGAAAAGTACGTTATTTTCTTCAAGGTATCAACACTTGTAACAAATTTTAATTGTCTGAGTAAAAATTAGGTACTAGAAAGTTTACCTTTGAGATGGTCGATATGGTTATTCCAAGTCAATGTGTTGTCAACTGTTATGCCCAACAATTTGACATTATTTTTTTTCAACACTCACATCGAAGGTAGAAAAAAAATTGAATTTTGAATTTTGTTATCATTTAGTTTAAGTTTATTTACTAAAAACCATGATTGAGCATTGGAATTTACATACTTAGACGTGGTTTCTAAAAATGTACGATTTTTATTAGAAAAAACAAAAGTAATGTCATCTGCAAATAAAACTGTTTTAAATGGAGCCAGGAAATTGGGCGTCATTAACATATATTATAAATAATAGAGGGCTTAAAAGTGATCCTTGTGGAACTCCATACTTTATCTGCTTAAATTCAGAGAGATAATATCCGTACTTGACTGCTTGGTATCTATCCTTTAGAAACGATGAAATTAGTTCCAACGGAGTAAAAAAATAGTACCTCTTATACCGTAAAAATGCAGTTTTTTTAGAAAAAATGGCAGAGTGATTATGCTTCTCAAGGCCATCAAATATGACACTCATCACTTCTAAAAGTTCGTCTGTTGTGGAACGATCCTTTCTAAACCCATATTGTGAACTAGTAAAAAAGTTATTTGTTTCGAAGTACGATATAAGACGCTTCTTCACAATTTTTTCTATTATTTTACTGAATATTGAACTGATGAAAATTGGTTTATAATTGTTTACAAGGTCACGATCGCCCTTTTTAAAAATAGGAAAAATCTTGGAGTATTTAAATGAATTTGGGAATATCCCGATTGAAAAAATACTATTAATGAGATGTGTTAACACGTTCATTGCCAACTACACCCATGGGTGTATTTTAAGGTTTTGTAGAGTTACCACATACACCCATAGGTGTAGCGCGGTCATAGTAAACATATTCGATCAATGTAACGCCAGCAATATTCCGAATAGAATAAAATTTGGTAGGCATGTTACTTCGGTCACATTATGAGACACCCTGAAAAATATGATTTTTTACATCTGATCATTCAGGGAAAGATCCAAGGTAATCGTGGTCCTAGTAGACGAAGAACATCATGGCTGAAAAATCTAAGGCAATGGTATGGAAAATCAACTACATCGTTATTTAAAGCTGCTGTCAATAAAGTCACGATAGCGAATATGGTAGCCAACATGATATCCAACGATCGATAACGGTCATGGAACTAGAAGTAGAAGGCATGTTAAATGAACATTATACTAAACATCTGTAATGCTGATGCTGACAGCAAAGGCTCAGAAAACGATATCATGTCATTTGGCTTCTGGCAACCTAACTGTCGAACTTATGTGCTTTAAGTCATAATATAAACAGACAAATGTCAATTTTTGTGTTTAAGTAGTGTTATGAATAAAGTTGTTGACATTTTTCGTTATATTATTGTTATTTAAAATCGTATGAGACAATGAGTAGTGCAGGAACATCTACTAGTGGTAATGAAGTAGGACCGTCCGGGGTAAATAAAAAGAAAATGAGGCTTTCTTAAAAATTATCAAAATATAAGCGCAAGCGTCCTCTAAAAGATGATGAATTGCGACATATTTTAGAATCTGAAGATAAGGATGAATATATGTCTGAAGGATCCAGCGGTGGAGAATATTCAGACAACAGTGATGAGTGGTGTACTGATGACGATTATGAATTGGAACATTTGACAGAAGAATTAGCAAAACAAACAACTCCGCAAGTTGAAATGCCCAGTGCTACTACTTCTGGTAGCAATTCTCCTACGTGGGTAGATATAGAAAAACTACAAAAACTTGAATTTCGGAACCGTCGATCATTCTTGGCAAACCTCGACAGTAATAATCCAATTGATTTTTTTACATTGTTACTTGATGAACATTTGCTGGAACTGATTGTTACAAACACTAACGAAAATGCTGTAACCATCTTTCTCTCTGAAAACACAAAACAGAAGTCTCGTATTACCTCCTAAAATTTAAAAAGTATTCGACATAGGTAATTTAGTGTGCAAGAATTTGCAATTAATTACGTCATTTGTCCCTTAATACATTAATTACACCACAAAAAATGTTTCCTTTTCGTTTACTACCGCATCTGAAGTTTAGCAAGATATATTAGCGAATAAGCGGACACACTTTAACTGAATATTAAAAACTACTTCGTCATTTTTACGAAAATTCATGCTGTTAATTCCATGAGGTCATAATCGTCCACGCTTTGATTGCCTCTAATTTGCCAATTACGCAATATTTTTTATTAACTAGACTTACCTTAAAAGGAGCATTCGGGACGTACAGCGGTGGATCTTTGGCGCTGCCGGCCAACTTCTCGTTCGTAGGAGGGATCCCATCGTCCATATCACAAACACTGAATCTTCCCACGATCCCGTCCGCCGGCTTGGGATCGTACCCCACGGGCTGTCCCACACAAAACCCTTTGGCTTTCACCCAAAATCGAAACTTACTGTTATCGGCACTTACGATTTCCTCGCCCCGTAAAGTACGTAAGATACGAGCGTATTTTTTGAGAGTTATAGTTTTTGTTTTAGCCAGATCTCCGTATGTTTGGATGACCCATGGTTGATAGTTTGCTAACATGTCTTCTTTGTTGTCTATATTTGATCGCGTACGATTTTCATTGTTGTTTTGTTCTGATTTGGTGGCCTTGATGGGCGGTTTTTTCTTCGAATTCTTTTTTGGTGGTTTCTGGATCACGTTTGCAATGTCTGCCATTTTAGTTTTGATAAGAACTCTTTTTATTGCAATTTACTCTTACACATCTGGAGTAATTCCAATAAGTTCCTAAAAATAAAAATATAAATCAAATAAGACAATAATTTTATTTTACATAAGAATATTAATACTATAGTACATTTGTAAATAATTGATAGTAAAAATGTTATTGCACGTGAGATAAAACTCAACATAACATCATAAAACAGTATCAGAGATTTTCTAAAATAAAATATTCAGCATTGTTTTGAAAATATTTGGATTTTACCTCAAATTTTTCCTGAACAAACATTCAGTTCTTGAGGATATTGAGTGTGACATGTGTGACGTGTGTGCGATTGAATGTGAAGAAAAAATATTTTTTAACATTCTCGGTTTAATGCGGATTCTTTCAGTCATGAGTTCACAACACTCAATTCGTTGGTCTGGATCATCATCTTCTAGTTCTTGAAGAATTTGTGTTTGGTACCGATGAAACTTATGTAATTTGAACATCTTTCTAGCCAACTCATGTGAAAGTCCTGTCATTGCAGATACTTGACGTGTTGATGAAGTAAGCTCTACTGCAAAATTTCCAAGGACCTCAATTTGGGATGCTTCTTTCAATAAAATTGGGGCATCCCTTTTTTATTTTGCACTGATCCCTTTCTCTAAACTTTTCAACTAAATCGCGGACGTACACGTGACTTACAATTTTGCCCGGATGCCTTTTATGAAATATTTAAGCTGTTCGTAAATAACACTGGTTCTGGGAGGCAAATATGAAAATGATCTCTGCGCGTTCAGGTATACTGTAAACCATTGTGACAATTTAATTTTTTACATTTAATATTCCCAAATAAACCAAAAATGTGTTAATATCAGCCGGCTTAGTATGACTTTTGTATTTGTAGTGCTATCTCCCGGACTTTTATTTTTAATGATAAGTGACCGTCGGATTTTTTTTTTTTGATAAATAAAAACTTAATTTTCCGTTTTTTCAAAACAAGTTGAAAACTTTTGGGTTTTGTCAGATTCAATAATTTTTGGTTTAGGTAAAGAAATAATAATAAGACTTACTCACAATCAATTTAATTTAACAATCAGACGACTGGTTTCGCTTTCTACAATTTGCAAAGCATCTTCAGGTCTAGATACAAAGATGTAATCATCAATTAATAGAGTACCGGCATGTAAGTAATGTTTGTTTTGTTTTATTTATCTGCTCATTTATTAATTTATTACAATATAATATTACTACTTTATACCAATTGTGGGTCTTACCTTGTCTGTTAATACCTTTTATATATTCAAATTTATTCATTTTGAAAACCACAGACATGTAATATTGGCATAATTACTATAATTTGTATGAACTAACTTATTTGTTTATTTTATCTTTATTAGACACCACCCTAATTGGGTTTATTTTATTGCAGCATTAGTTTAACTTTGTATCTAGACCTGAAGATGCTTTGCAAATTGTAGAAAGCAAAACCGGTCGTCTGATTGTTAAATTAAATTGATTGTGAGTAAGTCTTATTATTATTTCTTTACCTAAACCAAAAATTATTGAATCTGACAAAACCCAAAAGTTTTCAACTTGTTTTGAAAAAACGGAAAATTAAGTTTTTATTTATCAAAAAAAAAATCCGACGGTCACTTATCATTAAAAATAAAAGTCCGGGAGATAGCACTACAAATACAAAAGTCATACTAAGCCGGCTGATATTAACACCCTGTATAATTATTAAACGCTAAAACAATAAACATAAATAAACGAAAAAAAAAATAAGCAACCAATCAAGAGACCCATCTCATGTTTGTTGACCTCCGTAAAGCATACGACAGCGTTCCTGTGACTAAATTGTGGAAATCACTACAAGACACTATTATTAGCTACACTCTAATCAAATCTATAAGACAATTCTACATCACAAGTAAAAATTGGCAACAGACTATCTAAAAAGTCCATCGTTAACAAGGGTCTGCGATAAGGATGCTGTATTTCACCAACGTTGTTCAAGATATATGGTGCTAAAGCACTAAATCAGTGGAAACGTAAATGTCACGCTATGGGTATAGACCTCGGAGAGGTTTGTTTATATATCTTACAATTTGCTGATGACCAAATCATCATAGCTAATGATAAAGACGATTTAGAGTAAATGACAAGGAAACTAAATGAGGAGTATGAACAGTGGGGCCTGGAAATTAATGTGGAAAAAACTAAATACCTACCCATAGGAGTTGAGTTATCCAATCTCGAACTAGAGAATAATGAAGAAATCACCTCCTGTAGTGAATCCACGTACCTGGGAGTAATCTTTGATAGAACGGCAAAAGACGATAAGGAAATAAAGGAAAGGGTAACACAGGCTAGAAGAACAATTGGCTGCTTAAATGGAATACTTTGGAGCTCCGAAATAGGAATACAGCGAACATACAATATATATGAAACACTAATTAAAAGCAGCCTACTTTACGGAGCAGAAACTTGGCGAATAACCGAGAACAACAGAAAAAAATTAGAAGCTGTAGAAATTGATGTATTTAGAAGATCGTTAGGTATATCACGCAGGGAAAGACGACAATGAGGAAATAAGACAACGAATTGGAGTAGACGGTTACTTAACAACAGATATTGAGAGAAAACAGTTAATTTGGTATGGTCATGTTCATGTTTGGTATGGTCAAGAATGGAAGACACAATATTGCCCAAAAAGATTACGCAGTGGGTACCACCAAACCGTAAAAAACGAGGAAGACCCAAAAAGACATGGAAAGAAGGGGTAACTAAGGCAATGAGTACACGGGATCTTAGAGATGGCCAATGGGACGATAGACGTGGAAGTTAGGCATCGAACAACGTCGAAAGACGTTCTAAAACCGATATATATATATATATATATATATATATATATATATATATATATATATATATATATATATATAATTATTAAACAAAATAAACAATAATTATAGGGTCATCAACAGAAGTAACAAAAACCTCATTAAATTTTTCATTTAAGCCAAAGTTTTACAATTATTGCTTCACCCTGTATAATTATTATTTATACCATTGGATAGTATTTTTTATAACCTTTTTAATTATGTATCACAAGTAGAGGTTTGAAATTTAAATTTTTTTGGTTGTGGTGGGTGGGGCCTAAGGCGTTGATGGGGGTGAGTTCTCTTTAATGTCATTTTAGTTCACACTTACTATCCTAGAAACGGTTTCAAGCATTTTTGGATATCAGCTTTTGTTCTTGAGATATATGCCCATTGTATGTTTTAAAATTGACACACTGTATAACTATCTATCTAATGGTGGGACTTTCTAGTGGCAGAAAGCTTACATTATATGGTTGACATTATGATAACCAACTTTCTGAAACAAGAAGAGTACCGCAAAAAAAAGAATACGGTGCAATAAGTTATCACAAAAACACTGACATTAACAAGAATGTCTATAACATTGCATAACCATAGTCATTACTGTTTGGCTTATGCTGACGATATGGTACAGTTTGCTAGAACTCTGGAAAAATTGGCCAGGTTTAAAAATTAACGAAAGTAAGGATAGATAAATTTACAAAACAAACATTTTAAGTTGAAATATACACTCTATGAAATATCGAATAAAACATCTATTCAATGATTGCAAAGCCTATTTCTTGATCAGCAATAACTAAAATAGAATAGGAAAAGCAAAGATTACGGTGGAATAAAAACAAAACAATACACAAAAAAAAGATTGCAAGATATAAAGAGACCCAAGAATAAGTAAGATAGGTAATAGACAAGGCAACTCAAATGACTGGATCAGCTAGAGCGCATAGGAATTAAATTCATAGTATTTAAAAAACTGGAGTAAAAGATACAATTCAGTAGACCAAGAAGTAATCGATGGAAAGCAGCTAGCTATCCAAGGTGTCAAAGACGTAAAAATAAAAGGTTTACGAAAAGGCAATCTAAAGAAAAAACGAAAATAAACACATAGTTATAGGTACAAATAATCTACAAACGGTTTGTGTATGTCAGAATGTTATAAAATTACTTGTTTTTTTTTTACAAATATTGGTAATGTATTGAAATATACATATAACGTTAGTATCTACATTTTCAGCTCAATTACCTTTGCAAACCACAGTCCTGTTAAAAAACTTCACAATAAAACAAACCACCTAATAAAAAAAACTTCACAAAACTCAGTTCCACATGTAGTTTCAAACGTTTGCGAGTCACTATGGCAACGACCAATTGCACGCCGGCTAGATCGGAAAAAAATAGGAAAGCGCAGCACGCGCCTCCGCTTCGAGTCGCGGAAAGTGAGACAGAATACAAAAAGCCGCGTTATGTGTGAGTGAGTAACTGAGGAGCTCGTCCCGCAACCGAACTCTGAAGTGGTGCGTTCGCAAAATGATGCGACGGGCTTCACGGGACCCTTTCGTATGGGTGAGTCGCCCCTCTCGCGCCCCCTCTCGCCGCGGCGGCCTTACGCGCCTCTCGCATCGCGGTAGCCGTGGAGAGAACGGCCCGTAAGGGGATCCGCCGATTGAAAGCGGAGGCGCCGACAATCAAGTCGCGCTGTGGACGAAATAGTGCGGTTAATTCGACATTAAACAAAAGTAATTCATTGAATATATTATCTAATTTTTACATCTTATCGAAATGTAAAACATTTATCTTACTTTCTTTCAGCTTCTTCTTATGCCTGTAAAATCATCGTAGTTATTGCTATTCTTTTATCCATTCCTGTTGTTTTCTCATGTATCTTAATAAACGTTTTATTTCTTCTATCGAGTTTTCTTTTTCCTTTCTTCCTTCTTCTTTTGACCAATCTACCTTCCTCCATCTTGCATATATGAACTTTTTCTTCTTATGGTGCCCTATCCAATTAGTGGATGTTGGCGACAATTCTGGCATACTCCTCTCGATCTTCTTCTTCTTCTTCTTCTTCTTCAGCCTGTGTTTGTCCACTGCTGGACATAGGCCTCTTCCATTTGCTTCCATCGATT